GTATTGAAGTATAGGAGTAAAAATTTTGATCTTTCATCGACTTTGTTAGCCGTAATCAAGGCAAGGTGATAGACGTTAGTCAGACCCCATCACAGACATTACTATGAGATCGTCAAAACCCGTGACAGACGTTGTTGATATACAATCACAGACTTATGTAATAGAATGCAATAGGTTCTGAAATCTGTTCAGACTTTATTTTTAGACCTTTCGTAGATTGACTCATAACTTCTACAATATGAGTGTAACGAAAATTTCGGAAGGAAGACAAAATTCTGATTTCAAACCAATATTTTATAGCTTCTGCTGTTTATCTTAACTGATCCAAAAATGAAGAAATATTTTGTCTCAAAACGTTAGAAAGTGAAGAAATGTATTTCAAAATAGATAGACTAGAGCAATCTCGTATTAATTAGCAAGAGTAGTTACATTTTAATTCTGTTGAGATTGTGCTAACAGGTTTCTTGTTTTTTTCTGTCAAGGAAATGGTCCACCACGAGATCGAACAAATCAAACAATTCAATTCGAACATATTTATTTATCTGTATTTATATCAATATCAATATGTAGTGGAATTGGATTGTTTATATCATGTACTTTTCTTGCTTTTAATATTCATTTTCGATCACATAGGTAAGAGAAAAAGAAAATAAAGGATAGTTAAATTTTTTTTTTAATTTTATTTCATTTAGATATATTCGTATGTCAAGTCCAACATTAAATAATCTTATTTTAGGTGGTTGTATGTTAGCTTATATCAGTATGATTTTAATGGGTATAAATTCATCTTTATTTCCAAAAAGATCATTTGTTGAAATAATTATGAATATTATTTGTCCGGTTAGTTAAATAATTAACTAGAGAAGATAAAGAGTTTTTTCTTTTTTGTAAAGATTCGAATGTGGATATTATGTATTAGTTTTACATTGGCATTTGGATCGATGTTTAGTAAAACTTGGCGTGTACATTCAATATTTACCAATATTAATATTACGAAAAAAGTAAAGAAACAAGATATTTAAATTCAAAGAAAATTTCTTAGAAAAAAAAAAATTTTATATTAGGGTATTCATGATTCTCGTTTACTTGCAATAGTTGGTCTTTTGTTATTTATTGATTTAATTTTTTTAATTGCTTGGCAAATATTTGATCCAATACGTCGAACACTTGTTTATACTGCGCCACATCGATTAAAAGTATTATTTATTATTATCTAAATGAAGAAGACAACAAATTCTTTTTTTATTTTTCTTCTCTTGAAGGACAATCCAGATATAGAAATAATTCCATATCGTGAAGAATGTAAAAGTAAAAATATGACCTTATGGATTGTTGTTTTAATTTTATATAAGGGTTTATTAATGGTAAAAAAAAATGAACGAATCTTTCATCATAAATCTTTTTATTTTCTAATGAATAAAATTTCTTAGTTTTATGGTTCATTTCTATCATGGAAAACTCGTCATGTAACAATGCCAGCATTAAATGATTCACGTTATATTGGTTTAAGTGTATATATTGTATTTATTTGTTGTACCCTTGGCTCATTAGTTGTATTTATACCATCTGAACAAATGCAACTTTCATATTTTCTTAGATCTTTTTTTATTGTTATTTGTACAACAGCTACTGTATGTTTAGTATTTGTACCAAAAGTAAATTTTTAAGATTTAATTTAACAAAAACAAAAAAAAAGAAATTATTTTATAATTTAGATTATTGAAGTATATCGTGATCCACATTCAAAAAAAAGACAACCAAAAGTTACAAATCGTTTACATGGAAATTATTCTCGTCCCACTATGTTAACAATACAACATTTAAGTACCGCTTTAGCTGATAATGAAGGTTTAAAATTAGTTTTATCTATGGTAAAAAAAATTTTTTTTTTTGAAAAAAAAAACAAAAATAACGAGATATCGAAAAGTATTTTGACAAAAATGTTTGTTCGTTTTTTTTTCAATCTCGTAAAGAAGCCTACAGAAATTTGAAAATATTAGATTAGTATCAGAATCAAATTTATTCAAAATAAAAGCAAAAATTATTTCAAATACAGCAAATGAATGAATAAACATTTCTCTATTCAACGATATACTAATGATTAATTTGTTCCAGATCATTTGTCAACAGTGAGAATTTTAGTACGATATATCGTGTCAATTTAGCTCATTTTCTATGAAAAACAGATTTACAAAGTGAGCTTGGTTATTCCTGAATGATTGTTCTAACACTCTTGATTCTTATATTACTTTGTAGAGAACACTGTCGTCTTTTATTCGATGCAAAAAAATTGATAATGTAACCACACAAGGATCGGCCTTCCTCTCCTGTGATCACGATAACTTCGCGATACTCCTGAATACAATGTTTACAAGAAATGAGACTATTGCTGTAAAAAACGTCAATTTTCTCTGTTCAAACTTAAATTTTATGCCTCTAAAAGGTTGACTCATAACTCCTAAACCAAAAGTCTTAGAGAAATACTGTAAACAATACAAAATCAATGTTTTTAAATTTCTGATAACTCCTTTAAGAGACTGAAAAATGAACGAACGTTCTATCAAATTATTTTTCAATAATCTATTATTAGAACTTTTCTTTTTCTATTTTTGTTTTTATGTAAATAGCAAGAAGAAACTTTAAATCGATTATCGGATCAAATAAATAATTCACAAACTGGAAATAATAGCATTTGCGGTAAGATATACTTTGATTGAATGATAGTTGATTTCATTATCTTACAGATCTTTTAAATTATTTCGATCATTGTAGAATCCATGATATTTCTTGCCTAATAGTATTCTAATAAAAGCTATGAACGGATTGGGCTTCCTGTTGATATTTGACTAAGCTATCATATCAATAGAAACCTAAAACTTTTGATTAGAATATTATTAGGCAAAACAAAAATTATTGAAATCGGAAGGAGACAGTTGAAGAGGTTCACTCGTTAGCTAAACTTTATTCATAGTGAAATCAAACTCTCATGATTTTTAGAAGATTCTTTCAATAAATTTGTTCGTTATTATCTTTTTTTTTTTGTTTTTTTTTTAGATTATGAACCATTCGAATTCGAACGTCTTATTGTATGTGATGATGAAGTTGAAGATGACGAAGTTGATGATGATGAGGAAGATCCTACAATCGAAGATGAAAGTAGTGTACATTTTATTTCAAACGATAAGTAAGTTTATTTAAAATGACTTAAATATATTCATTAAATTTTATAATTTCAGTATTTTACAACCAGGACGTGTTGCACGTGCTGTTAGTTTATGTTTATTCAATAAAGTTCAAACAGGACAATTACAGTGGCCAGAATCACCTATTCCTACTCGTTATTCAATTCCAACAAATGATAATCATTATCGTGCATCAAATGTAGCTTCAAATAATCTATTCCGACAAGCATGTCAAAATTCAATGAATATTAATAAAAATATGCAAAAATTAAAAGTTGAAGATAATAGATCATCACCAAATAAAATTGAACATTCATATGATAGTTTAGTTTTACTCGATGAAGATCGTTTAGATGAAATGATTGAAACTGATCTTGTATCATCATCAAATGGCTAGATAGGTTTATTATTATTATTTGTTTTGTAATTCTAAAATATTATATTTAATAAATATTATTATTTTTCTCTTTTGTTTCATAATTGATTTTTTTAAAGAAAAAAAAAAACAAGACTCGAAATAATTTTATTTTGTAATTAGATATTCAAGTTTTGTATCGAAAAACATAACAAGAAAAATCAAATGCAATTTTCTGAATGACTTAACCTTGATCAAATTGTACGATCTTCCCTTGTATCAATAATTTCATTTTATTTGAATCGATTACAATAATTTACTAATTGTATTATTCTAATTATTTTTGTAAGAAAACAAACTTCAAAAATTCGAAGAATATTCTTCAATAAAACTATCATTTAAGTTGTTATGAAAAAAAGCTACTCGTAATATACCAAAAAATAACTACTAGTGAATAACGCAATTCTTTCGGTGGATTTTTTTCGAAAGTGTTATTAGGATTTTAATTGACTATCGGATAGGGCATGTCATTTATCTGAGTGAGCAAAGATACGGATTCAAGCTCTTACAGAGATACATTATGTAATGTATAATCTTCAACATAGATCTGTTCTAATTGAATTCTAATATGATTATTTATCTTTCAGATTGGCGAAGCTTCATTTGAATAGTTTCTAATCGATAAACGTTAATAGCTCATGAGAGAATCTCTTTACATGTACTGAGTTTATTTTGAATTGAGACTATGGTAATTCAATGAGTACTACCGAACGATAAAATAGTCTAGAATGATTTAGGTTTCAAGAAGTCCGTTCTTACAAAATCGAGTTTTTACTGAATTCTATAGTTCCCTTCAGTTCATTTTATAAGTTTCAGTTTTTCTTGTTAGTTTCGTCATGAGATAGTAATGTTGAAAATTCTATTGTGTAAGTCTCATTGAGAATATCATTTGTGCGATGTTTCAAGTCGAAAACTGAAAGTCCACCTTCAAGATGATCTGAAGAGGACTACAGGACTTCTCGACAAAAAATTCTGTAAAGAATCTATTTCTCAGAAATCTTATGAGTAAAAGACACTAGATAAGCATAGATAATCAGCATTAAATGGGACTGTCTACTGTGCCCAATTCTTCTTATAGACACCTTACTAACGTCCTTCTTCTTCATAGTTTGTGGCAAACTTAGCCATAAAACTAAAGCCTTTCGAGAGATTATTATGAAAAAAAGATTGAATTTAAGATTGATTCCTCTTTTCAAAGTCTTTGTAACATATTACGAATAATATCTTTCATCATAGACATATTAGTACATATGAATATAATCGAACTTCTTCTATATAATAATAGTTATTCATACTTAGATATAAATATATCTCACTTTAATATTTAAATTACAAAATGAAAGGATGTTGAAAAGTATCAATCATTTATATTACAACATAATAAAAAAAAAATTGTTTATCGATCATATATAATTACATTTATCAGTATAAAATTTCTCAATATTGTCATAATAAGTCATTTCACCTTTCCGTATATTAATCAATCGCTGACATAATTCGCACATACGTACACGTTCTAATGCTTTACTATCAATAATAATTTCATAATTTTTTCTCCATTCATGATACATTGAAAATAAAGTTATATTCGTATGAATTTCTTCTAAATGCATTGCAAGTTTATTCATATCTTCATCAAAATCATCAATATGTATAAATGAATTCTTTGGTGCTAAACGATTATAATCACTTCTTTCAGGTCCATAAACAATCGGTATAAGACCATAATAAAATGCTTTATAAAATTTTTCAGTTATATAATCTTGACATGTATTTGATTCAAAACTTAAATAAAATTTAAACTTAGACATATAATCATGTTCACATTGACTAAATGAACTACATAAATGCAATGGATAATTATCAACACAACGACCATAACCTTCAATTAATAATTTTGATGAATATTTTAAATTATAAAATAATTCTAAACGTTTTTTTGCATTACAATTTGAAACAAACCATAATGCACCATTTATTCGATTCGAAAATTCTTTTCCCGTCCATTGTTGATATTTATTATTCGATAGAAGATTATCGCGTTGACTAAATAAACCATATGTAGCGATAGATACTTCACTATTTAATTTATAACTTATCGTCCAATTAAAATGATAAGAATTAAATAGACCATAATTAATTATCGAAGGAGGTTCATCTGACCATAAAATCCAAACAGAATTAGGTTTTGTTTCGGAACGACTTGGCATCGATGTTCGATATAATGGAATATCATAAGCATGAAATATCAATGCATCAGCTTCACGAAATTTTTTATGATCACATGACCATAAACAGCGATGTTTTGATGGACAAGATTTACCAAAAATACGTTGAATAGAAAATGAACAAAATTTTTTGTCACGAAAAATTGTAGTATAAAGAACAATGAGAATATTAGAAGTAATTTGTCGTTCGTTACTTCCATGTCGAATAACTTTAACATTATTTAATAATGTTTCATTTTGAAAAATCTAAATAAAAATATTTCTTAATCAATTGACAAAGATTTTTTTATGATTGACAGATGTGTATTAAATCTTTAAAAGAACTTTCTATTTCTTTGTTTTAGTATATAATCATAAACTAAGACGACATACTTGTTCTTTAATTTCTAATATTTCTTTGATATTTTTCCATTGAACATCTTGATTAATTGAACTTCTACTATATTGAGCCGAAAATGGATTGGGCACAATAATAATTAGGAATAATATGCAAATAAATACTATGACAAACCATATAGGCGACAGATGCCGCAAATGAAAATATTGTCGACGCCACCAATTTCGCATGGGCATTTTATGAAATGAAGAATCTATAAAAGTGTATTGTTGGATAGATGTCAAATACAAATGTCTTTTCTTTTCTAAATATCTCGTTTCTTCTAGTTAGGTTTATTCGGTTCAGTACGTATTAAATTGTTCCGATTGTAATCGAATATTGTTGAACAGTTTCATGTTCTATATTCAATAAAATATACATCTTTTTATTTAGAAGATTTTCAATCTTTCAAACAAGAAAATAAATGATCGGTAGAATGTGTACATATTCCTTCGGCAAATATACTATTACCCATGTGGTCAATTTTTGGAAAATAATTAGACATAATCAGCATTATTGTATACTGTAATGCATAAATAATGGATATAATTATGTGAGCATGCAACTAATTTCTTGAATTTTCATGTTCTATTGGTCAAATAATATTCTATAATCCATGGATGTTTCAATGCATCATGGGTTATTGGACAATTGGTTGATCTCGATACATTCGTTTTTTTATGAAATAAATACATTAAGAGTATTCTCCTTGGTTTTTTTTCGCCATTTCTAGTTATCGAAGAGAGTATAACGGATGTCCATGAGTTTTTAATCATAGATCAAGCATTTAAAATAAGAAGACATGTAATCAAGGAAAAAAATTTTAAACAAGATTTTCGCAGGTTTTTAAGGAAAGCTCTGGTTTTTCATCGGACCATGTCGGAGCCGCTTACGACCTGCCTCAAACTTTGTTCGATCGGGCTGAAATCTTAACAACAGATACTTGAAAGCATTATCAAGAAATGAAATCGGCCGTCTTCGTTTTTAATTTTCTATCCAGATTGACAGAGTTCTGAACACCAACATCTCAGTTTTAGATTCGAATCTTTACGTATTTCTCTCATAAAACAAAAATAAAGTCATATTTTTGAAAACATTTTAAACTACCTATGAGATATAGCCTAAAATGTTTCCAAAGCAATTTTTAGCCAGATTGAACAAAGTCAGACGAGAGCTGTAAGTGGGTTTGACGTGGCTCTATGTAAAAACTAAAGTTTTCCGAGAAAGCCGTGCTATTTCAGATACTTTATCTATGAAAAAAATTTTATGTGGATCAGTTGTATCCTCTTCGCGAACCAGAATGACCAAAAGGATGAGATACCTTTAACATTCATGAGAAGACAAAGAGTTTTCATGCATATAATACATTAAAAACCTAACAGATTATACGACATTATTTGACAAATAATCTATGAAAATTCAAGGAATAAGTTATATTTACATGTAATTACATTCATTTCTATATTGTACGTTTGTTCACACTACTCGGTTGATAGTCGGTATACTGACGATTTTCATCCAATTTGAATCACATGGGTTATATTTATGTATTACAATATATGATACTATTCATTTATTTATAATTATCGCCTACATGAGTATTCACTGGATAATTGACACACTTCTTATCTTCTTCATTCAAGAGCAAAAGATAATCTCGACTACTACAAAATTTGAATAACGTGTTTCATATACGATAAAGCAACTCACATATATAAGAAGACAAATGAATAGTTCGATACAAGAAACATCTTATAAGTGACCAATAAAAAGACAAAATCATCTAAACAGTATCCTAACATAAGAAAAAATAAAGTTTACAGAAGAAAGAATTGATTCATAAAATGTAGGAACGGAAAAAGAAGTAGGAATATGGATGAATATCGAGAGAAGTATAATAAAGAAGGAAAAAACAACTACTATTTCACAAATATACCTTGAGTCTCATATAATTAACTTTATTATTTACGATATAAAAAATGTAAATTTTACAGATCGAATCGTTATTACTATGAATTTCAGACTTACCTCTATGATCTATTGAGGATCTGGGCGCTATACTTACATCCTCATGAATTTTCTTCTCGAATAAAAATTTATCAAAATTTTATTTATTCAAAAGTAATTATATTTAAAAATAATATTTGAAATAGTTTAACAATATGTATATATATATAGTGGAAAAAGTTACAATATATTTTGTAGAAACTGATTACTTAATATGTCTCTGACGTCAACAGCATCTATTATTTGAACATAGTAAACAGGTGTCTCCTGTAGTAGTAATGTAAGTACTTTAATTCCTTATAAGAAGCTTTTTTCTGTATATGGACTGATAGTAAGAGCATTGCTCTACATACCTGTAATATTTGATTGTTCTTCAGCTAATATCATAATAGTATTATTTCGATAAGAATTATTTGTTATGATACGTGACGATAACATTGGATCATATTGTCTTCGTTGTATATTCTTTTCTTTCTTTGTCTCCTCTAATGCCTAGCCATCTATACATATTAGATTAGGATATACAAAAAGTGTGGTATGGAGAGAACAGAAAAGAAATAATAAAAAAAAAAAAAACAAGTCCATTAAGTTATTATTTAAGTAATTCTCGGAGTCTGACGCTATGTAATTTTTAGTTATTGAACTTAATCAAACAAAATCCAAGCGATCAAAATGATTTCAAATTGTTTCATTATGCGCTGTTAAAAAATTTATGAATCCTTTGAATAAAGAAGAGTATAGAAAAAAAACACATTTGATAAATGAATGCAATTGAATGGAAATAACTAGAATGATTATTTCGAACATCTGATAAACTAACGACTTGTTTCTATATTTCTTTTTTCCTCTACTGCCATCATTTTTTGTATATCCTAATATGTATAGATGGCTAAACATTAAAGGAAACGAAAAAAGTAAAAGAATATACAACGAAGACAAATATGAGCTAATGTTATCGTCACATATCGTAACAAATAAATCTTATCATAATACTACTATTATGATATTAGTTAAAGAGTGATCAAATATCACTAAAATGTGTACAGCATTATTTTTACTATCAGTTCATATAGAGAGAAAATTTCTTTAAGTTTTTTATAAGACATTAAAACATCTTCATCACTACTTTATTTATTTTTCACATTTATCATTGAATTAGATATAATACTTGAAAGTATCTATATCATTCATCATTACTTTCTCGTTTACTAAAACTTATACAAAATATTGTTCATCAGATATCTAATGTAAAAGTAAATTACAAAATTAATAATACAATTTTAGAATCCTTATAAATTTGAATTCTAACGTTATATCACATTACAAATATTTACATTAGTTTTTGTTCAAAAATATCGACATCTCATATTATACATACCTTGAAATTCTTTAGCAATGATAAAAACATAATTCAAACCAAAATCATTATTTATTTTAACTCAGTTAACTTCTATTTATTATAATTTTTATATTAATAAATAGAAATACAATTCATATTGAAAATAAGTCTGTATAAAAAATATTATTTGACTATAAAGTTTTTTTTTAATAATCAACATATTTTTGACAATATCATCAAGAAACAACATAATATGTATATTTTTGTTTTGCTCTAATTACAGTATTAAATCTTGTAACGATCTACTGGCGTGTATATAAACTTTCTAATAAATCTAATACTTTTGACAGATGGCATGACGTTAGTAACCATCATTATGACTAATCTGCCTCGATAGAAAAAGAACTAGTAAATAATGGTTTTGTTGCTCTTTGAGCTATGCAGCATCTTATTAAGACGACGAATATAGAGGGAGGCACTGGAAGCGAACGCTTCTCAATTCCGAACGATTTTTCGTTTTTTTTTTCACTAGACAACACCCAAAAACGTTCCGATACGTATTCTAAAAAACTTCAAAACACTTTTTATGAACATGATCGCCTCCCATTTACCTAAACTCTAGAATAGTCATTGCTTTTTAAATATAGTTTACCCATTATTTTATGAAATATGTCTGATTTTTTGTCATTTACAACAGAATTTCATAGAAGCATATCATCTCAATTGAATTCGTGAAATGGAATGTTATCTTGATTGTTGCATTTACTTTAACACTCTTTTGGCAAATGTATTAACTTTTTCGATGAACAAGTTTCTTAATACACTATTAACTTTAATAATGTAGACTAGGTCTTTATAATCTATGATCACATATGCATAAATCGTGAGATCAACGTTGAACTGGATATCGATGCATGCACTTAGGATGGAACTCATTATCAAAACCTGACATTCCCAGTATATGATATACATTACCGACTTAGATTGTATTCTTCTGATTAACTGAAACTAGGATGTTTGTTTTAATGATATCTCATGCTTACATTGTTTTCAAGTGAAACCTGTTGTATCCTTGTTAAAAGATTACTGTAGTCTAACGCCATCATTTATATGCTAACTCATGTTTAGGTAAAAGTAAAATACATTGGTAAATATACCATTTGATTTAATACATTTCTATCACAATTTCTTTTTCTGAGATCTCTATCAAATCCACATATCACTTCACTAATTGCATTCGATACTGATTCGCATTTCTTGCCACAAGTATTTCTGATCACAGGTATACCAAAGCAGAAATGAAATGTACAGAACATCAACTACTTGCAATATTCATGTTACTTTACTTTTTGCATAGAACAGTAGCATAGTGTATGCAGTATTAATTCAATGGGTATAGAGATGAAATCATTATTAGTCCGAATTTTTGACTCTTCAGTCTGTCTATTGAAATCAGTAACGATACTGGATCGTCAAAATTATAGAGCGATGTTTAGTCTATAGAGTTGGATTCGAACTAATCTATAACATATTAATGGGATAGTCTTGATACTGTCAAGATCAGTCATTACTACATAATTGAAAATCTTATATTTTTAAAATCTGTGAGAATGGATCTACTGAAGGTTTCATAGGAAATTATAGATGTGGTCTTTAAACACTTTTTATTTTAGGAAACCATTGCAGCAGATAAAAATTTAATAGAATGTATATTATTGCGAACTTAAGATCATTTAACAGACCTATCATAATGCTAGTTTGAGAAAATCCAAAAATTATATTATTTCTGTAAGACTATGTATCCTACGAATGTTTTAAAAAGATACTTAAATATTTATAAATACATTTTATTTTGTTTGATAAGATATCTATTTATGTTACACAAATTTTTCCAAAAAGAAAAAAATTTAAACTTCTATAAAGTTTTAAGAAGTCAAGAAAAATCATTAAAATATAACGTTAAGCAAAGACTGTAATAGAAAATACATTACGATGCTTTGATTTTTTTTCCACATAGGTCGGAATGTTTGATTCATTACTTCTCAAAATAATAAGATAAAAGTTTTGCTTCTCTATTGTACTATTCAACAAAATCAATTAGACATTTGATATGAGTATTCAAGTATAATATAACATGTCCTACAAATGAATTTGTTTTAGCATAAATTTTTTATCTTCTATTATATTTATCAAAAAAAAACCATTACATACAATTGCTCTTTATGGTTATTAAAAGTCAACTTTCTTTTATTTTTGAAAAATGCTAAGTGCGCAGTAGGTTGATCATCAAAAAACAAAAAAAAAGAAAGAAGAAAAGAGACAATGGCATACATGTATGCAATAATAAAATTTTTACATTCTACTTACACTAAGGAATTAGCTTTTTTTATTTAATATAGAATATTAGTAAATCCCAAATTGTAATATGTTGAAACATACTAAAAATATCTATAAAGAATAAGTGTAATCAAATTTTATTTTATACTATGTACATATTGTTAATGTTACACAAATATTTGTTCTTCTCGATGTAGAATCATTTTAGTTTGTCTCTATTTTTGTATCAGATGACGGTATTTTTTTTTCTTCCTGCAAGTCATTTATGTTATGAATTAAATCAAAATAATGATTTTTTTGCTAAGTAAACTTCTTCCGGCAATAGAAGATCATGAATCTTCTGTTGCATCACATGTATTTTTATAATTTTTCAAAAAAAAATCAAAACGATTCCAAGCATTAGGAAAGAGATTTTTTCAGCTCAAAATCTTGAAAACTAAATGATGTTCCATAACTTCTGGACCTCAACGAAAATTAGTTTTTATGTAAAAAACAAAGAATTATTCCTATCCAACTATATCTATATGGGCTTCAAGTATTTAGGACGATGTTTTAAATTGTATATTATTTGATGGCATTATCTTTTCTAATAATAAGGATATAAACAGAAGAAACGTGATAATTATAGTGTGGTTACAGAGGATAGTCACATCCATACCCTGGATAGTATGTATCGTTTTGTATAACTGTGTTACGTTTCATACAATGAATTCATAGTTCAGTAAAACTTCTTAAAAAAATGTTGGTCGATTCCGAGATTTGAATTATCACGTTTCTTCTGTGAATATCACTATTAGTAACAGAAATAATGTCATCGGATAGTATGCCATTGAAAACATCGTTCTAAATATTCGAAGCTCATATAGATATAGTTGGGCAGGGATCACACTTTGTTTACATATAAACTAATTGCTTTTGAAATCTAGAACCTATGAAACACCCTTTAGGCATATTTTGATGTAAACATACTAATTAAAGCTCGAATTTTGCGCGAAATCAGTCAATTTAGGGATATCTTCTATTGCGATGAGATGTTCAGTATAATATTTATTTCATACATGACAGTATCAATATAAAATTACATCTATCAATAATAAAAAAACATTAACTAAAGATGAAGAATTTCTATTTTTATAAGATTTGTCTAGCTTGCATGAATATATTGTAAAGCAAGCTTTTGACTTTAAACTATGTGTAATAAAATAGAATGTATTGATATACACTATACTTTTATAGCAAGTATATTTCGATGACTTTGCAGATGAAGATATAATCAATTCTTTAGTCACTGTTACGATCACTATGTTTGAAGGATTTTTGATAGTAAAAAAAAATATATATATATTTAAATAATTCATGTTCTCTACTGAAACAAAGGAGAATGAAAAGAAAATTCATTATTATAATATTAAAAGTTTTAAATAAATCTCAATCGGGTTTTAAACGATGTACTTATTATGATTATTTTTATTCGTTTTTAAATCATATCCTTTTTATATGATAACTCATTTTGAATGATTCATAATTTTTAACATATGCGAACGTATATAACGAAAAATATCTTCTATCGATAAGAATTGTATTCACACATTCTTTTCGACAATGATATTTACCTATTAATTATAATTATCAAATATTTGTATTTGCTATATATAATTAGCTGATCGATTCTATATATTTACAATCGTCTAATTCGAAATGAAAGAATGCACGAACGAATTAAATAGACATTTCGAAAAAAAAAGAAAAAGTAAATAAAACT